ATAGGTTATTTAATAAACAAGATTGTTCTGTATAAAGCAGCTTAGTCTGAATCATGCTAGAAGTTGTTGAGCCTTTTTTTTCATATAGCAGTTTCTTCTGGCAAATCATGTAGAGAAGTTTCATGTCAAAGGCCCCCCAAACCGAGCTCCCATTAAAGTTTTTATGGGAGACTTTGRCATGTACTTCAGTGTGAGCAGGTGCCAAATGAGCAAATCTCATTCTTTGTGTAAAGAAACTGAGGTTACATTCTCTACTGTTAACGAGTTTTACCTGCTGTTTTCCTTCTGCCGTACATCATCTATTTACTGTAGCCATTAGTGATAATTTAATTTGAAAATGTTAAAAATACTACCATGAGAAAGGTATTTATTTTGACAAGAAACAAATGCGGACTTGAAGATCAAGATAAAATGTGAAGTAAAGCTTCACCTGGAGTGCAAAACTTGTTACTTTTTAGGAGCTGTGGGGGTTTTTTTAAACAGGTTTTTAAAATTATTTTAAAGGCAGGTTTTTAGATTCCGATGCATGTAATTCTGAAGGAAAATGGCAGCTTTTTCTTTTGCTTTTTTAAAAATGGGGATCTTTTTTAATCTAATACTGATTGTGTTTAATCCATTTTGAAAAAAAGATACTGTTTATGTTATAACTCTTCAGAAGCCAGTTGGATTGTTGGACTCAAATAGAAATTGGTTATTTTCAAAGACTCAGGACAAACTAAATAAGCTATAGTACCTTAAAAATGTATAATACAAATTGGAAGTAAAACATCTTAAAGATAAGTTTACATGAATGATAGTGATCATACTAATAAAAAGAAAAACAACCCGTGTCATTAGTTGTGAATGTGTTTCTTTTGGAAATTTTACATTCCTTTGTTTTTGAAGATTGGCAGACTTTGAAGAGTTAAAAAGATAATACTGAAATGTGAAGTTTGGTAGCTCTGTTTTGTACTTGACTTTTTTTGACCACTTTAAAATTTCTCATTCTAGTAAGATTGTTTCCAAGTCTTTCTTAAGTGCAAGCTTTAAAGGATGCACTCTTGCCAATTCATGTACTGGAAGATCAGTTGTCAGATTAATACTGTTTCTGGCAGAAATGTAAACTGTATAAACTGATGAACCTCAGCTAATCAGTATTACTTTGTAGATCACCATGCCTACCACATTTCAAACTCAAACTGCCTCTTAGGTGTCCAAATGCATTTGTTTGAGTTTGCATTTCCCTTGGCTTGCTGGTAATTGTGGTGTTTTTAAAATGGAGATGTGATGTAATATTCTTCTTTTCTTTGGATCAAAGCTGGACTGAAAATTGTGTAATTATTTTTTGTGTTCTTAATGTTATTTGGTACTTAAGTTGTAAATAACGTCTACTGCTGTTTATTCCAGTTTCTACTACCTCAGGTGTCCTATAGAGTTTCTTCTACCAAAGTTCACTTTCACAATGAAATTATATTTGCTATGTGACTGATTCCTAAGACTTCCAGGGCTTAAGGGCTAACTCTATTAGCACCTTACTGTGCAAGCAAATTTTACAGAAATCTCTGGGTTAAGAAATTTGGCTTCGTTGTATCCTTTGTTATTTTAAATATATCAAGATATTTTAATTAAAAGTTTTTACCCCATTGAACCAATTTTATATAGTATAATTTGTACGTATTTTGGTGTTTTTTGTCTTTATAGTAAATAAAAGTTTTTGAACAAACTTTGTCCTTTGTTTCCTGTAAGGTCAACACATTCATTTTACTGATGGAAATAAAATATTTCTGGTACACTTCACTGTTTATACGCAATATCATACACCACATTTGATATATCAAGACTTAGTTTCTAATATTAAATGACACAAKCGAATGAGTGCTGGCCTGTGTGTATGAATATCTWTATATCTATCTATATCTCTGTCRTATGTATCTRTATATGTCTTGCGTGAATTAATAATGCTTAGATAAAGGGCAGCAACAAAGAGGKTTTTTTTTAAATTAATGATAAAGATAGGAACTTCTCTTATGACAACACTTTTATCTATGAATCTCACTTTATTATACCTTTAGGTCAAGAATTAAATATCTAAATTTTACCTTACTGCAATGTAGCAATTACCTGTTCAGGTGAGCTGATTTAGTTAGGTCTGTTCTGGAGCCATTGAAATGTATGTTGGAAGTTAATCTGCTGTTTTATGTTTTCGGTGAAATGATTCCGTTGCTTGAGATTTTGATAGCAGACATAAGCCTTTCCTTATGCAGGCAGTCCATGTGTTGCAAAGCTAATGCTTATTTCAGTTCTTGTCCTTCTCCAGACACTTTTGAAATTTTAAAAATTTTAAATTTGAATTTTAAGTTTTAAAAACTAATCTTTTTTTAATGAAAAATTTTCAAGAATGGACTCTTTTGTGACTATAAATTCTGAAGTATTGTATAAATTTTGAACTATTACACTTATTTCCATTAGTTATGGGACTTTCTGCAGATAGAGACGGGTGTATCAATTCACCAGCAAAAACTAGCAGCAGAAATGTTCACATAAACTCTAGTATCTGCTTTCTAAAATCAGAAAAATGTACTGCCTGAAATATTAGAAAGGAACATACATGGCAAGGATTAAGTAGGAGATAGATTATAATCAGTCTTCCTTTATCTGATCTATTATAGAAGTTCTGAATCCTGCAGTACTGTGTCGTACTTGCAAGCCTCCTTTTTAGGAGCAAGGGATGGCAGAGATGACCGGTGCCCGGCAGATGGCAGTGCATTCCAAAGACACCTACTTAGGGAGCCAAGTATCTTCTTGGGCACAGGGCATCTTCAGTCTTCCACAGGTAAATGGTAATAAGCTCTGTGCCTGTTGTGATTTCTCCAGTAGGAATAACATCACATTTCTGCATGACAGTCATAGGCTGAAGTCTAATGCTGTTTCATSTTTCCAAGTTCTCACTTTAAGCTATATACCACCTCCAGAATATGTTGGAGTGTCACAAGGGTCATGTATATCCTTTCATCCCGTGCAAGTTGTGTGCAAGGCTGTTGTGACMTGACAGCCCACCTACCAAAGCACTCTATTTACCTTACTAACTTTGCAGTCATTGCTTAGTCTTCCTTAATGACCTGAATTACGCTGTAACTGTCTTGCTTTTAAGAGCAACAATATGCATGTGTTGTGATGAACACACGTGTTGTTTTCTGGTTATGGCACAGCTGCTGAAACGCAGTTACAAATACTGAAGTGAGCCTTTCTTGCCTGTAATTACCGAGGAAGGTCAGGAGATGGCAGGGAAGCACTTTGGTGGCAGCCMCTCTAGTCTTTTTCGACATTTTCCCTCAATTACTTCAGTTTGCACTAGCCCATCGCTCAGCTCCTGTTCTCGGAAAAGATGTGGCAGACCAACAGTAGAAATGAAGTGATTATGGAATAAATCAAGACACAATTTACAAATATTTGAAAAGCTCTGAGACAGGAAGTTAATTCTGAGTTACACTGCTTTGGTGGGCCTGTCTCAAATTCCCAAACTTGTGAAAATTTCACGTCCAAGGGAAAGAGTGTATGTAACCTTTGAGAGTGTATTGAGGTTGATTTCTCTGTTTACCACAAGACCAAATCTCAAACACTAGCTCCACCTTTTTTTAAGTTCTTTCCRAAAAAGGTAAAATACATGTGTACTTGTATTTATTTTCCCAATTCATTGGCAGTCATAAACTAAAACTGCAAATAAGAAGCAGCATCCAAAGAGAAAAGTTTTGTGAAAGTAGGTACCTAAACAGTCAAGGGACAATAGTGGCCAAAGATGATGACAGTGCCCTTATGTTTACAGCTCTAGAGGTTTGTAGAGAATGATTTTGGGCCTATTGCTGATTTGTGAGGATCAGTTGCTGAGAAATTGTTTTCTTCACGGGATTTTTTTTTTTTTTTTAATTACGTTAGGGATAAGTGATAGTACAATGTGGCACAAAGCCTATGCTGCTGTTTGTAAATACTCAKGATTTGCAGTATATTCCTTCAATCTGACTCCTTAGATGCTGTTGCTTCCTGTACATCAGTCAGTGGGATGCACCTTTAAATCTACAATAATTTTTGCTGCTACAAATCACAACTCCTGACACCTTGTTATCACAGCCAAATACTACCCAAATTGTGGACAGAAGTGTAACAGGCCTCAGRTCTGAAACTGAGTCATTCTTTTTATGACATGGATCACAAGTCTGGAGGTCAGATCTTGTGAGGAGCGGCTGAGGGAGCTGTGGGGGGCTCAACCTTTAGGAAAAGAAGTTGAGACGTGTCCTGCCTGCAAGGAGGTTGGAGCCTGGGTCGGGGTTGGCCTCTCCCAGACAGCAGGACCAGAGGACAGCAGAGGTGCTGCTGCATGGGAGGGTCAGATTGGGCATTAGGATGAATTTCTTCACAAGAAAGGCGATTAAACATTGGAATAGACTGGTCAAAGCGGTGATGGAGTCATGGAGCCTGGAGATGTTTAAGGGAAGATKTGACATGGCACTTAGTGCCACAGTGGTGTTTGGTCTGATGATCTGAGACATCTTTTGCCAGCTAATTTGTTGTGAYCAGTTGAGGCACTAGCGGCCCTCGGCATCGGTAGAAGCAGGCACTGGGTGATTTTGGAGAGGTGTTCTGACAATTCTAAGTAATTGTTAAACCACCTTTTACTCCTATCTTGTATTTTCGGATTGTTTACTACAACACAGAAGCTACAATGTAACTTTGGTCAGAGAGAGGTGCATGTATTTACGTCTGTAAGTGTGCACGCAGGATCCACAGGTTTCCTTTCGCGGCGCCTGCAGCTCTCCCGGTTCTGAGTATTACCAGAACGCTGTTCCCCGCAGCGGCCGCGACCCGAGCCCGTCCTTCGGCCCTCGGGGGCTCCCCCTCRCGGCCCGGCCGCGCTCGGCGCCCTGCCTGCCGCTGGCAGCCAATGGCAGCTGAGAACACAAACCCGCCCGTGTGTGTCCGGAGCGCGGATTGGCTGTCCCGGATCGCGCGGGCGCGGCTCGGCGGGAGGGCGGTGCGCGGGGCCGTGAGGGAGCGGCCGCCATGCTGCGGGAGCTGCGGCGGCGGTGGCGCTCCTACAAGTATCGTTTCGTGCCTTGGCTCGCCCTCAACCTCCGCCGCCAGCGCAGGTGAGGCACGGGGGAAGGTCTCAGAGACCAGTTCAGACCCCGCTGCCCGTCCTGCAGTCTGGGCCACCGCAGGAGTTCGCTCGGGTTTGCCACTCGGAAGTGCTTCAGCATTGGTTGTCCCTTGTCTGGCATGAAATTCTTAGGCAGATGCTTTAAAATGGTGTTTAACGTTGAAGGTATATAGATAGATACATAGATAATTTCTCTTCGGTGAGATATGTATTCCCTGTTTTAATCGTGACAGTGTTTGGATTTAAATGATTATGACATGGGTTATAAGTAACACAATTTAAATAAAAAATTAAAACCTCCCTCGCTAACATAGTATTTATGTCACCTCATTTGAAGTGTAATGAGCTATTTTTATTTTTTTAATAAACATGATAATCATGTTTCATTTTTGGTGTGTTTGTCACTGAGAGCTCAGTAGAGTTCAACCTACTTGATTTATGGTAAATACTMAGAGATTATGGTTTTGTAGTAGAAGAGGTACTTATTTTAACTAACAGTCTTTTTTAGTGTTTTTCGTGTTAAAAACAATGGTTTTAGATAGGACAAGCATGAAGAACGTTTGGAGCTTTCTAAAACAACAATGCATCTAAGTTACTGCTGCTGCAAAATGTCTCTTCTCTATTTAAGAAAAAAAACTTAATATATTTTTAATTTTAAAATATTTTATTTTCTTTACAGAACCCTCCGATATGTTCCTGAAAGCTCTCAAGACAAAGTTATTGCTGATGAAGAAGTCTTTGAAACACTACTGAAAACGTTTAAAGCTCTGTTCATAAATGACTTAAGTAGACAAGCAGATATTCTGGCCTTACTTCCAGAAGTGAAGTGTCAATATATGGAATTACTGACTGTGGAGCAGAAGCAGTCAAAAGCCAGTTCTTGTAACTATCAGGGTCAGCACGTGTTTAGTCCCGAGGAAGTTTTGTTTAACACGCTGGGGTTCGCTGTTAGCAGAGATCGGAGTTCATTGGTGTCTGCTGGAACTGGAGTCTTTGTTACCAAAGGTTTTGTACCGAAAGGGACGGTTGTGTCTATGTATCCTGGTAATGGAATGTTCCTTTTTTTTTTTTTTTTTTTTTTTTTTTTAGATGGAACTTCTGACCATCTGGTCATGGAATGCCAAAGGCCTACACTGATTTTTATTTTATGGGTTTTATTTCTGCTTTTCTTTAACAAAATCATCAGTTATAAAATCATCAATTTATAAATTGACAATTTATAAATTGTTTAGGGTTCTTTTGGAAATAAGAGAAACAATATTGGGAAGGACAATTTTGTTTGTAAAAAACAATTTTAGCACTTAAAGTGCTAAAGCACTACTCCTCTCTGTTTCTCCTCCTCATTTCTTGGAACTGTACCTGCATACATTTCTTTGTAAAGTTTATAATTCTGTCAGTATGGCCAAGGAAGAAACTCTGCTGAGTTGCTTTGGGTTTGTTTGTGTTTGACAACAAAATCATCCCCTGTGGTCTCTGGCTTGTGCCAGCAGCTTGAGGGAGCAGCCCAAGCATTCACTGGTCGGTGGAACACACTTTTCTGTTTACGAGTGCCTGGCCATTACCACTGATTACTTGTGAACTGACTAATTGACAAGTGATAGTAAGTGAGCCTGCCTGTTTTGCAGCTCGCTTCAGATTTCAGGCACATACTAAATGTGAACGTAGGCTCATTCAGACTCTTCTCTAACAGCTCTATTAGCAAAACAGGGATGGGCTGTTGAAATGCCTTCTCAGAGTAATGAAGGAACCTACAGGGTGCCGGGTTGGGGATGGGACCCTGTGGACAGGGACCACAGCCTGCCTGTAGCTTTTGCCTAGCTCCTTATTATTTCAGTGCAGGATTTCTGCAGAGGGGTGCTGAAGAGGTAGTGGGTGTGAGGAATGCAGGACAAGGATTTAATGAAGAATGGCAAGCCAGTCAGCTGTTGCTTTTCTGTGCTTGGAAATCATGGCAGGTTAAATCCTCTCCTCGGATTTGGGAAACAGTCTGCTGAAATAATTTGGTCTTGTTTATCATTTTCCATCTCCTGGACCAAACAAAATCCCTGGGATAGTGGAGGGAGGAGTTTCAGATTCTTTGCTGAATCTGTGCGGTTTTCAGAGTCCTGACACAGAAGTAACAAAACAGTATCTTCAGTTGTGTTTTCATAGGCAAATACCACCTGATGTTTTCACCTCTGAAGCAGGCCAGTTGGCTGTGAGGCTTTATCTGCCTCTCCCAAGGATACTCAATTCAGACATATGGTTTCCTGTGAGGTTCTCTCTTTGGAACATAACAGCTCATTGTGAGGGGATTTTTTTATATCCCAGAAAGTTGTGTCTAAAAGCTTGTAGGTTTACTAATGTCAATGCCATTAAGTAAGAGGGGATGTCTGTCTGCTCTCTATGCTTTTGAGTTTCTGTGTGGAGGGGACCGAAAGCCCAGTTTTCTTATTTTCTTCTGAAATAATATCTGTCTTGCAACAGGTACAGTATACAGAAAGCATGAGCCCATCTTTTTCCAGTCCCTTGGCAATCCCTTTATTTTTAGGTGCATTGATGGTGTCCTTATTGATGGGAATGATAAAGGACTGTCAAGATCAGTGTACAGGTAAGCAAAAGAAGTAGCGGATTACCACTCATCTGATTTAAAATAGTGAAACTCCCAGTGTCGGTTCATTGTTTCTTAGTCCACCTATGCGTGACTCAAATGCAAACAGCACAAGGCTGGGAGGTGCTGCATGTGATCCATATGTACTTGTGCCTTCATCTGTAGCATCAGTGAGATGCATTTTGATGTACGGAGACTTTACTGTGCAGAAAATATTTTTAGTAGAGCAAGATGTAGCATAAAAGTACTGAAATGTTTCTGAGCTTTATTCAAACCTGCTTTGTTTGGTACATGAAGTGCAACTCCCGGCTTCTTGAGGGACTACCTAAAACTGAACCATATGACTGAGAGCGTCATGTAGACACTCCTTGATCTGTGGCAGACTTGGTGCTGTGACCACGCCCCAGAGGAGCCCAGTGACTGGTTACTTTCTCAGTGAACGATCTTTTCATAATGTCCAGCTTGAGCTTCCCCTGGTACACCTAAACTGGACTGGTTAGGCTTACCTTAAAATATAATTTGTTGCAATTTGTGCTTAAATATGACATGAAAAGAACTAGCAAAATTATCTGAAATAATAGCTAGTTTTAATATTAATACCTAATATTATATTTTAATTCCTGGAATGAGTTTGAAGCTAATACTGTAATGAGTCTTTGTATTTTTGTCAGTGAGTGAGATGTGTTGACAGTTCTGTAATAGTAATGTTTGATGTTATTTTCTGGAAGACTGTGTGGTAGTTTTGTGCAGGCTCTTCCACTAGAGTCTCCACACAGTAGTGAAAGTGTTGATCTTTGCGCTGGGCAGCTGTAACTTTATGCAGTGCCTGTGGCATTTCTGTAGACGAAGTGAGGTAACCTGTCAGGCGAAGGAGACATGATCCACGCTAACACTGTCACATTTCAGGTCTTGCAGCAGGAGAGATCAGCTTGGCCCCTTTCAGATGAGTGATGAGAGCTGGCTCACAGCTGCCCCCCAAAACCCACTGGCAGTGGGACAGTATGTCAACAATTGCTCACATGGTAAGTTACCAGGTAAATTTTCCAAGTATGAGTTTGGCTTTATGGATATCAATTATTTTGAAGGTGACACAGAGAATAGGATATTGATTTTGCAGGGCATCAGTACTGTTTAAAGCTAGCACTTAGGGGGTAAAAGGGTTCTGTGACAGCTAAGTGTTGGAGTTTTTCAGTGAAGTAAGACTTCAGATACACTTTTTCTTTTCTCACTGACCTGCCAGTTTCCCTCCTGGTATGTAGAATGAAAGGCACACACCCCAAAATGTGAGACGGTGGGAAAGGATATCTGGCCAAGGATCACAGATTGAAACAGTAARGTATTGCAAACTTAAGTTCTCCTGTATGGTTCCAGATGCTTCATGAGAAAACTGTACACTCAGTGCCATGTAGAGTAGGATTCTATCACTGGTACTTCTGTACAAGTATATTTGATGTTTTCACACCTCTCTAAGCCCTACCTAATAACGTTTTAATTTTTTTATTCCTAGAAAAAGCAGCAAACGTGTGTTATCAAGAGTTTGATGTGCCAGGACATTTTCCAATAGAACTGAAACAGTATCTTCCAAACATCGTCTACAGCCATGACATAGAGAGGTTGGCATCAAATGAAAGAGCTTGTAGATTTGTATGATACAAAGCATATTGCATGTATAAAGAAAAGACAGACATGGTTGAAAAATAGCATATTATATGAAGATGAGTTACACAAAAAGTGTGCAACTATTTGGGAAAGTTAGCTCTCTGAATAGACTAATTACAAGATTCTTCATTCCTTTTTTCACATTTCCACAAATAAARTCAACATAGCTCTGAAGACAAGGTTTTACAAGCAGTTGTTGCACTATAGTGCAATTCTTCTGAATCCCATAAATCACTAGTTATATTTTCTTTTATTACGGTACTGAGGCTTTTCACTATGGATTCCAAATCTGTCTCAGCCTGAACCAGTCAAAGCCCATCTGAGGTGATTCAGATTTAGATTTGTTCTCCATGTCTTCTGCTTATGTGACAAATAAGCAGATGAATTTGCAGGAACAAACCTAAAATTGTATTGAGACAAGTGAAGTAGTATGCAATATAAAGGCATAGTTATAGTTAATATAGTTAATATAGGCACAGTTAATAAAACTACAACATCCTGGTTATGACTTGGTCATCCACCTTTTTTTGGAAATTAAAGCACTTGGAAATCTTTCTCAGATAATCTTGTTCAAGGATGTATAAGCATTTTAGAGCAGATCAGAATGTAATTCTGGAGTTATTTAAATACTCTGAAATGTCATTGGAGAAAGTTATGGTACATATTGGAAAAATGGCTTTTCTGATTAAACTTAGAGTACGTTAAGTCAAGGTTAAAGATGCACTTAGAATCTGCATCTAATTAAATGAATGCTAATAAAATAAGCAGTAGGACTGAATTCTCAGGAAGTCTGGATGTTGAAGTGTGAAAGCACAGTGAGAAGAGATAAGCTATAGGACCGCTTCAGGAAAGGGGAGTTTTGCTCTTCATTGAAACTGTCTGAGAAAATGCAATCTTCTAGTCATCATTTCTCCCAGTGTACAGCCACTAGACAAAAGATCCCATCTGCTTCTGGCTACTTCTTTTGATACTGACAACATAGATCATCTTTTTGTACCTTTTGAAAGAATTCTTAGTACCTATTTACCTTGTTTGGTATGTTTCCATGTGGCTTCACACTGAATTTTTAGTAGTAGAGACCTGGGTTGATGCCGTTTTCCACTTTCTGGTTCTTCAGTATCAGAAGCATGTGCTCTCTTTCCTAGAACAGATMGTTCATCTTTAGGGTGTGGTCATTTACTTAAAGGAAGTTTGGGGGTGTGTTTCTACATATCTCTGTGAGAAAGCTGCCTGTCAGCCCCTGATCTCAGCATGGAATTTGTGGATAATGACCCATCGCTGCAGATGGCAGCAGGTCTCTGGTGCAGTTCAGAGCTGCTTTCCTGACTGGTGTTGGGCCTCAGGAGAGAAGCTTTAGCCAGCCAGTGCCTGGCAGGTGTGTCCATGGGAGTGGCATCTCCTGCATGAAGTTTGTTGTATCTTCTCCTCCTGTTTGAGTGTCTCCTGCAGTCTTGACTAATTCTTTTCATTCAATTCATCTCTGAATAATTGTGTGGAACCATTTAGTGGAAACATTTTTTGCATATCTACGTAGGCTGTGCTTTTTTTTTTTTGGTAATTATATTGGTTTTGCTTGTGTTTGCTGCCTGTATTTCAGTGTTGTTTTTCTGTGTTCCCTTCCCTGCTTTATTACTCACAAAACTAATCTGGCAAAGACACTAGTTTAGCTTCTTGAAGAATTAAAAACAATTCAAAGAGAATATAACTGTTCACTTTCACATGTTTTGCTGGTTTTCTTTTACAGCCACCTCAGGTGTGTAGTTCTCGTCACTCTCAGAGACATCAAGCAAGGAGAAGAACTTTTTTCAAATTACTACACTGTTGTCAGCTGAATTGATAGATTCAAGAATAAAGAAATGTATGTCAATAAAATATGTTCTGTGCCTGTACTTCAAGCTTCATCATCATCTGTATGTAAGGGAGAGCTGTAGTTTTCCCCTCAGAGAGTAAGCTGTATGTAGGCTTGAATTTCTCTAAAAATAACATGTCTGCTGTTGATATTTCTGCATATATTCTTGGGGTTCAACTGTCCATAAGGTAGGTCATAGAATTAAAACCCTTAAAAATTAAATTCTCGACATGTCATTTAATCTACTAGATTGCACAGTTGTCTATAACTGGGACTTTTTTAGTATTTTTCCATTTAATTTCCTGTGCTTAAAATGGACGCAACCTTTTGGTATCAGCTTGCATTTTAAAAATACAGCAGTGCAGGCAGTTGCCCCAGTCTTGTATGAAGCCCATTTTGACATCATGCCGATGGGCCCCTCAGCTGTGCCTGCACAGTGCTCTGTCATCATGAGGACATCTTGAGCCAGAGCCTTTAGCTGTGCCTGTCCTGGGGTAGGAGGAAACGTGTGTTCCTTGGATCCCTAATTTCAGTGATTCACTCCAAGTTTCCTGACATGTGGCAACTTTGATTGCTTTTATTCTTCAAGAGGACTTCATGTGGCAGTGTAGTTGGAGGAAACAATGCCAGCCAAGGGTGCTGTATATTTTTTAATGAGTTGCTAGTATAAACAGGGCCAGCTATTCCCACATTAATTTTTGCTGTCTGTAAACTGGCTTCAAAAAGATGAAACCAGTATTTACTGCGGAAGTCCAAGCAAGCCTCCCAGTAAATTTGTGGTTGGTGTAAGCACATGAGAGAAGAGGAGCTAGGCAATGGTGTTATGAATCGGTTACTTAGGGCAGCCAGGTTTCCTRCTTAGCTGCTGAAGCATCTTGTCTCCTTTTCAGAATGCAAAGCTTTGTGGTGTCTGTGTTGCTCAGTCTGCTTCCAAGTCTGAGCCTTGCCTGTCACATTTATTTGGAAGTCCTTTACAGCCGGAGAAGGCTGGCTATTTCAGCAGGATTTAGCTAGCAGAGCTCTGAGACAGAGGCATCTGCCTCAGCAAGGGGTGTGCAAGTTTTATGGCAATTTCCAGTGACATTTTGTCTTCAGTGTATGGTAAGGGGTTGGAGCAGTGATCACCAGTCTGCTGAAGGGAGTGGTCATCCTCTGTGACTCTGAGGATCCCTTCTCTCCTGAGCTGGCCCTKCTCCCCAGCACTCTGGGAGGTTATTGGGACCTCTTGCTCTGTGGAGGAAGCTGGCTATCTAGAGCACATGCAGTGTTCTTGGTGGAGGGGCTGCAGTTCCCCAGGCAAATTCCGTGGTACTCTGGGAAGAGGAGAGTGGGAAAGGTGTGCGTGTGTGCTGCTGCGTATGTGTCCCTTCTCCCTTGCTCTTAAAGCTGCAATTCCTTCCTGCCCACTGCTCATCAGACCCTACCATGAGCTGATCTGACTTGCTGAGCATGAATAACACTACCTCCACAAACCTCAGGCTTTCTCTTGTTTTGTTTTCTGCTACTGCTGTGAGCTGAAGCAGCTGATAGAAGGGCCTGAGTGAGCAAGAGAGCAGGAAGCCCCTGAATGGTGGCAGAACGCTGGATTGACACCCCGGGGTCTTATAGAGCTGTGCTTTCACACAATTTTATTTTGCACATTAAGGTGGTGCTGAACTTGCTCGACATCACACTGCCTGCCAGGCTGCTCTGCTCCCCGGCTGCGTGCTCCTTCCCATGCCAGTTCTGGAGCTCACCTGGCAGCACAGGAAACCARCAAGAGGGAGTGATGGTGTTCTGCCACCTAAAGAACTGTGTGTGACAGGCCTGGTGGCACAGCCAGGCAAACGTGTGCCAGCCACAGCAGGGATAAGCAGCCATGCTGCGGGGCAGGAGCGGGTCCACCATGCCCACGGGAAAGCACATTTCTGCCGAGGCATCCTGGCCTCCTCCGCTACTACAGGGACGAGACTTACTGGGAGCTCTAAATTGCTTTCCCCTACAGAGAGGGAAGAGAAATCCAAGAACTGGTATAAAGCATTTTATCAAACTGATGGCCAGGGTTTATGTTTGTAATCTTTGCTGCCTTGCAACTCGTGGACAAAACAAGTTAGTCAGTGAGGCAGCAGGAGCAACTGACATAGGTCTGGGGAATGGGGTGGCACCTTCTACAACAGGATAAGTCCCTGGAATTAGAAGTCCAGACAACAGATAGGACAGGTAAAGGTCCTTCTGGGATCGTGCGGCCTCCTAAAACAATACCACGTGTGCCCCATATCATGACCACCTCTGTTAAGAGAAAAAGGGAGTTTTAATAGGAGACACCCTTCTAAGGGGAAGGGAGGGCCCCATATGCAGATCAGACCCAACCCACAAGGATGCTGCTGGCTCCCAGGGGCTCAGATAAAGGCTGTTACTGGAAGGCTCTCCAGTCTATGAAGGTCATTTGATTAGTATCTGCTATTGGTTGTTCAAACCGGCAGAGACAAAAAAGAAAAGTCTGAGAAAAAGAGCCTTCGGGGCCTTGGGACAATTGGGAGTCCCAAGGGGCAGGAGCACAAGTAGTGATTTTCTTGATTCTCCAGTGACAAGGAATACTGTTGATAGGATGATGGACCAAGGGGTCTCAGTTCTCTGAGCTATGATCTTTCTCACAGACCATGACTGTGAGAATGGTCAAATCCTGGCTGAGCTTGTGTGGGACCTGCTGCTCCAGCTGTATCCCTGCAAATCTATGGGGCCYGATGGGATTCATCCAAGAATCCTCAAAGAGCTGGCTTTGCAAAACTCTTTTCAATGATTTTTGAGAAGTCTTGGAAATCCTGAGAGGTCCCAGCTGACTGGAAGCTGGCAAACATTGCCCTAATTTTCAAGAAGGGCAAGAAAGAGGACCCAAAACCTACAGTGCTGCTAGTCTAACTTCAGTACCCAGTAAAATAATGGAAAAGATTATTCTGAGAAGTATTGAAAAGAAGGTGGAGGACAATGCATTCACTGGTCACAGTGAGCACATCTAAGTCCTGTTTGTTGAACCCAATATCCTATTATGACAAGGTAGCACATGTAGCTGCTCAAGGGAAGCCAGTTGATGTGATCTTTTGGGGTTTCAGTAAACTTTTCATTGCTGTCTCTTACTGTATCCYTCTGGACAAAATGTCCAGCACASAGCTGGACAAACACATCCTGTGATGGGTGAGCAACTGGCTCATGGGTCAGACACAAAGGGTTACAGTGACTGGGGTGACATCAGACTGGGGATGTGTCACAAGTGGGGTTCCCCAGGGCTCCATCGATGGCCCTGTGCTCTTTGACATCTTCATAAATGACTTGGACTCAGGACTGGAAGGCACACTAATTAAGTTCAGTGATTACACTAAATTTGGAGGAGCTGTGGACTCCCTTGAGGGCAGAGAGACCTCAAGAAATTAGAGGAATGGTCAATTACCAACAATATGAAGTTTAACAAAGGAAAGTGCCAGATTCTGCACATGGGAAGGGTAACCCTGAATGCATGAACAGCCTGGGGAATGAGTCTGGAGAGCAGTGCCATGGRAAGGGCCCTGGGGATCCTGGTCCATGGCTGAACATGGGGCAGCAGTGCCCTGGCAGCCAGGAGGGTCCACCCTGTCCTGGGGGCACCAGGCACAGCATCGGCAGCCGGGCAYGGGAGGGGATTGTCCCGCTCTGCTCTGGGCTGGGGAGGCCTCACCTCSAGTGCTGGGGACAGTTTTGGGTGCCACAGTATAAGAAAGACATTAAACT